TCCTTGCTCTATATGGTTGTCCACAGGGACAAAAAGAAAGAGGTCAAGGAACCAAGGAAAACATTTCCACTTTGTCAGGTAGTTCAAATCATTCCCACAAACATTCTGGATTAAGAAAATAAAGCCTTCAGAAAGCTGCCAGTACTAATATCATGAACAAGGAACACACTCAAAACAGAATAAAAACCTAGGAAGAGTGATACTTAAAAACCACAGCACCAACTTAAAAAGAAGTAGCACTATCACAAGCTACACACAGCATCATGTTCTCAGCATTTCAAAGCCAAACGTAGACAAGATGGAGTATCACAGAATCACTGAACTCTTTGGTTTGGAAGGGAATTTAAAGATCATCTCATTCCACCCCTGCCATGGGCAGGGACAGCTCCCACTGTCCCAGGCTGCTCCAAGCCCCATCCAGCCTGGCCTGGGACACTGCCAGGGATCCAGGGGCAGCCACAGCTGCTCTGGGCACCCTGGGCCAGGGCCTGCCCACCCTCCCAGCCAGCAATTCCTAATTCCCAATGTGCCAAAATCTGTGCCTGCCCTCTGGCAGTGGGAGCCATTGCCTGGGTGCTGTCCCTGCCTGCCTTGTCCCCAGGGGCTGTGCAGCTCTCCTGGAGCCCCTGCAGGCCCTGGCAGGGGCTCTGAGGTGTCCCTGGAGCTTCTCTGGTGCAAGTGAACACTCCCCATCTCTGTCTGCAGGACTGTCTGCCCGCACTACAGTGAAACACTGTAAATGCGGGTGAGCTCCAGCGCTGCACATTCCCTCAGCTCTCCCACAGGACACGGGACCCCTGAGGAGGCCGCAGGACAAGGTAATAAAAACCTTGTTTACATCCTGCTACAGCACAAGGCCTGTCACCACCCTCACACGCCTGGCAAACACTACAAAACCCACGTATACCGAGTGCAGAACAGCAGGAATCTTTTTACGGGACAAAAAAAAAAAATAAAACAAAAAAACACAACAACATCACCCAGACACGCTCCCCCACTCTCCACCCTCCACCATTAGAGGCCGCACAAACACGGATGTAAACACGGCCTGGCGCGGCCACCCCCACACGCGGGTCGCTCCCTCGGCCGAGCGGCGGCGGAGCACGCCCCGAGCTCCCCCCGGTGCCGGTGCCGTTACCTTGGGGCGGGAGCGGGCGCGGCGCGGGGGTCGCACGGCCTCGGCCATGGCCCCGCTCCCCGCGCTCAGGCGGCACCGGGCCGCGCAGGGACGGGCGGCGGGACCCACCCCCAACGCGCCGCCCAATCACACACAGCCATGGGTGGCGGGACACGCCCCTGCCGCACCGGCCAATCACAGGGCGCGGCTGATGTGGGGCGGGGCCGCGGCCGTAAGGGAGGGACGGGGCGGGAGCAGGGGCTGAGGGAGCGGGGGGTGGTCGGGCCCAGAGAGCGTCGGTGGGGAGAGACAGACACTCCGTGGGGACATGCAAACATTCTGTGGGGACACGCAGACACACTGTGGGGACACACAGGCACTCCGTGGGGACACGCAGACATTCTGTGGGGACACGCAGACACACTGTGGGGACACACAGGTACTCCGTGGGGACACGCAGACATTCTGTGGGGACACGCAGACACACTGTGGGGACACACAGGCACTCAGAGGGACATACAGACACTCATGAAGTCATACATACACTTCTTGGGGACAGACAGACATTCCGTGTGGGCGGACAGACACTCCGTGGGGACGAACAGACACTCATGGGAACACACAGACACTCTGGGGACACACAGACATTCATGGGGACACACAGACCCTCATCGGGACAGACACACACTCTGTGGGGGCAGACAGACACTCATAGGGACACAAAGACACTTCATAGGGACATACACTTCATGGGGACAGACAGACACTCCGTGGGGGCACACAGACACTCGTGGGGACAGACAGATACTCCATGGGGGCAGACAGGCACTCATAGGGACACAAAGACACTCTATGGGGATGGACAGACACTCCTTGGGGACACACAGACACTCATGGGGACACTTAGATCATCCATGGGGACATTTAGACTGCCCATGGGGACACACAGGCCATCCATGGGGACACACAGCGTGTCCATGGGAACACACAGGCCATCCATGGGGACATTGGGAATGTCCATGGGGTCGCGCAGGCCATCCATGGGAACACACAGAGCGCCCATGGGGTGACACAAAGTGTGCATGTTGACATCCAGTGCATCCATGGGGACAAACAGGGACACACAGACTGCTCAGAGGGACTCACAGAGAGTCCACAGTGACCCAGAGACTGCTATAGGCACTCAAAGACCATCCATAGGGCCAGCCCAAGCTCCTGCCACAGGGAATGTGGGATGAGAAGCCAAGCCCCCACTGGCAGGATGGGGAGTGTGAGGTCACTTCTGTGTGCCCCAGGGCATGAGACACCCTCCATCCAGGACAGCAGGAATGCTGGCTCAGCCCCAGAGCAGGAGCCACTGTCCCCCAGAGCCCTGTCCTGACACCCAGCCATCCCCAGGGAGCCACAGCCGGAGCAGGAGGGGCTTCTCTCAGTGCTCAGGAGGATGAGCCCCCCCAGAGCTCAGGGGCACATCACAGTCCCATTACTGGCCTTGGACAGGCACTGCTTGAGAAGTCTCTGTGTTACTAGTATAACCTGGAATTTGTGGTATCTATGGGAAAGGTAAACTGGACGTGGCTGTAGGGGGAAACCTTCCCCAGCATCCCGATTTTGGGATTACTTCTGTGCTTTCAGGAAATGTGCGAGCCAAGTTTTAGCCCCACTGGGCACCTCTACACCCAGAAAAGCCAAACAGCATCTGTTGTGTTCAATCAGTGGAAAAATCCCAGAAGAGAAATCATGCAAGTTTTTGCAGAGCAAACAGTCCTCGAGGGCAAACAGCCCTGCATGGTCTGCAGCTCATGGCTAATGATATGCACTTCTCATGCCATTCTCTCTTGGGTTTTTTTCTCCCATTGCTGTGTTGCTATTGAGCAAGGACTGAAATAAAGGATGTGATCTTGTAGGTTTCCATCCAGGATAGACTAGGATGGATCCCAAACCTGTCCCCGACAGAAAGTGAACACGACAACTTTAAAAAAGAACGCATATCCAGAACACAAGACTCAGAACTTATTTTTTAAAATATGTATTTATAGAACTAAGACTACAGCAGGCTCCTTCAGAAGAGTATTTGTATCCTTGGTCCTTCAGAAATAAAAAGGATAGCTGATACCTTGCCATGTGCACTCTGCACAGCTCACTGTGAGGCAGCAGGGCAGGTGTTGGACCTCACTGTCATCTTCCCCACACAAATAAATCCAGTGAAAACCCCAAGGACTGGTGGGCTGAGGCACATGCTGAAGCCATGCAGATTAAACTTGAAAAACATCACGTTGCTCCAGGTTAGTGGCCTGGCACCAGGTTTAGACAGGTAAACTGTGTGTTTATCCCCATGTCCTGTGTCCCTGTGTCCAGTGAAATAAGGCAGCGAGGAGCAGTGAAGCAGCACTGCACACAGGGACATCAGAGAGACCAGCAGCCTCGAGGCACGAAAGCTTCTGAATCAAAGCCGTAATCAAATCTATCTGTGGCAACAACAAGGGCAGGAACTTTCAGGAGAAGTGGTCAGAAAAACAGGTTTCATGGCTCCAGCAGTAGATAGGTTTGTTTCCAGCGGTTCATAGTCAGAACAAGAGGTTAGAGAATCACAGAAGTTAATTAAATCATACAGTCAGAGAATCCCAGGATGGTTTGGGTTGGAAGGGACCTTAAAGACCACCTAGTTCTGATGCCTTAGGATTCTACCTTTTATATTTTGCAAATATTTATAATCCTGCTATTCTTTAGTGTATAACCCTAAACTCCATATGGAGCGTTAGCTACTGCTTTCCCATTTTGGCCAGACAAAACAATTCCTCTCTAGGCCTGGAAATCAAGGACCCCTTACTGTCTCAGGCCCTGAGAAACATAAACAAAAGTGTGTTGAGGGGCAGCAAACTTGGGGTAAATTACTTCATTGCCTGAAGCTGCAATTGGAAAATTAACCCCCAATATGCAAATGGACCGAACTTACAAAAATGTGAAAACCCATGACCCATTGTCCATTTTTTGGGGGGCTTTGTCTGCCCAAAATGTACCTGAAGGCCCTTCAATAAATATAACTTTTTATTCCCTTAATTTTGTCTGGACTCTGTTTTTAGGTAGTCCCAAAAAGGCATCAGTTCCAACTCCCTGCTATGGGCAGGGACACCTTCCACTAGATCAGGTGGCTCCAAACCCCATCCAGCCTGGTCTCCAGAGCTTACCAGGGGCAACCTGATAAACCTAAAAGCCCACAAGACCCTCATCAGAGAGGTGGCTGGAAGAGTTGAATAAATTCCTTAGGACCTTCCTGGGACCTCCCAGCAGGTTGGATGTGACACAGCCCTTCCCTGAGTAGATGCAAAGCAGCTTCCACTTAAGCCTGGAGCACAGCTACAGCTAAGACAGACACGTGGTGCAACTGCTGGTGCCCCTCTAAGTGAGATTTCTGAGAGATGTGAGTAAAATTTCACCTAAATGACCTAAAATTTCACCTAAATTTCACCTAAAGTTTAATCCCCACTAATGAAAGACTTTAGGTACAGCCAAGAGCCTTTAGGAACAGGCAAAACCTGAGATCTGAGGTGGATGCACGTACCCTGGACACAAGCCAGTGTGCCCAAAGCATTGTGCAGCACTCCTTTCAGCACAAACAACTTCTTAGTTATACAGAGAGTAGGAGGCCCCAGACTTTCTATATGGCTACACTTCAGAATAACTTCAAATCAAAACCTTCTTCTGACACAGGTCACCCCTGTGTCTGGTCCTTTTCCTCCTCTGAGTGTGAAGATCCATCCAAGGAGTTTGCTGATCAAAGGCACAGGTTTATAGTAAGCGCTTTCTGAATGTACAAATAATTATCATAGTCCTCAAATATTCTCTTGAAAAGCAGAATCACTTCAGCTCTGTTTGTCTGGGAATAACTGAAAACACCATCTCTGCCATGCTGGTCAGACCAACAGTGTCTTCTGCCTTCTGGAAAACCTAAAGAACAGGATCAGCAGTGTCTAAACCACAGCTACAGCTCAGACAAATGATGGGAGGGCTGACAGGAGCGTCACTTCCAATTAGTCACCCCAAAATGTCATTCCTTAACCAATGGCCTTTTTTCCCCACTGTCCCTCCTCTGTGTAGCTTCATCTCATACTAAATCCTTTCTTACAGAATGCCAGAATGGTTTGGGTTGGAATGGGCCATCAGGACCATCTAATTCCATGGGCAGGGACACCCTCCACTATCCCAGATTGCTCCAAGCCCCATCCAAACTGGCCTGGAACATTTCCAGGGATACAGAGGCAGCCACAGCTGCTCTGGGCACCCTGTGCCAGGGGCTCCCCACCCTCTCAGGGAAGAATTTCTCCCCTCTAGCTGACATAAATTTACCCTCTTTTAGTATAAACCATTCTCCCTTGTCTATTACTATCTGCCCAGGTAAAAAATTCTTCCCCTCTTTTTTTTAAGCCTCATTTCATCAAAAGTGGGTACTCACTGTGACTGTTAGAAATGTACCAAGCTGTAGCCATCAACTGTGGCATAATCAGGCTCCCCTGAAACACAGAGCACAAAAAATTCCCCTCATGTTTCCCATGAGCAGTGCTCATTATGTGACTTTAAACAGAGCAGAAGCACCACACACTGGCCGTCCAGGTTAAAGCGAGTGAGTGAATGAGGTTCAAGCAAGGCTGGGAGAGCTGGGGGTGTTCACTTGGAGAAGAGAAGACTCCAAGGAGACCTTAGAGTTCCTTCCAGTGCCTAAAGGGGGTTTAAGGGAGCTGGAAAGGGACTTTGGGCAAGGGCTGAAGTGATAGCACGCATGGCAAGAAAGCCCATGAAGCAGAAACTCACCTGGTGCACTGGTCGGGGTGGGCAGAGGTCCCCTCCTGCACAGAAGGAAACAAACACAGAGCTGAGGATCTGCATGGCTCAGGGACTCCCTTTGCCCTGGTTCTGCACCCTCCAGCTCCCCCCAGAGCTGGTGGGAGGGAAGGAGGTTTGGCCAGTCTGGGCTTTATGCAGACCTGACAAGGCAAGTCACGGTGGGCTCACCACCCACAGCCCACTTGGAAAACACAGGAATTGAACCTGACACAGTGAGTGGGGAAGAGGAAAAAATAACCAGAAAGCACTGACTCAGGGAAAAACTGACAAGTGAGCCTCAGGGCTTTGTCTTTGTACGTGCCTTTGCCCAGAGTGAAACATCAGGAAGCTGCAATTGGACATGACTCTCTCAATGTGGCAGCCAAAGTGGCAATTCATCCTTAGCATGAGTCTTGGCCCCAGCCATCATCTTGCCCCTGACAGAAAAACCCTTCACCGTGTCCTCCCTGCCCAGCTTCTGTCCCCCGAGAGTGAATCCAGCTCTGCAGTTCCTCCCTCCACCCACAAATGCTTTTAACTCTCCTCAGATCTCCTCCTGTGATCTGTCATGGTGACATGCCACATCATGAGCCATGCAAGCAAATACTGTCCTCTAATACCCTTAAGTCCAGTTTCCAATAGACTGAAAGGAGCAAAATATGCCTGTTTTGGAGGAGTGAGAATCATCTGCAATAACAATTGCAGGTGTACCTTACCTTGATATAGGCACAGGAGCTGGACTTCTCGCAGGAGTCACATTTCTCTGGGCATTATAGTAGTTTTCATAAACAACAGGAGCTAGGAAAAGTTGACAGTAGTAAAATACAAACCTCTTTCAGACATAAAATACTTGCTTTACCAACATTCAGCTGCCAAGTCTTTCCCCTCTCTGAGAAAATGTCTGATAGGAAACTAAAAAAATTTGAGACTATGATCTCCAGGGGCTGTCAAAAGTGGCAGAGACTAGTGTTGCAAGGCAGTGAATGAAATGCAAAATGAGTGTTTCCTTCACACAAAATGATGCTGACCAGAGCAGCCAGCTCCATGAGGAGTACAGAGCAGTCAGCACTACTTTCTGAGATTCTACTAAGTTCTTACCTGGAGCCAAACTTCCAGTTTTGCGTAAATTTACAAAAAAATCAACATCCTTCTCAATGCTGCACATTTCTAAACTCTTGCGGATTTCCTCGTATTTCTGCAAAAGGGAAATAAAGTGCATTTGTATACATCAGGTCAAAAAAACAAGGATTTTCCCCTTTGCTTACCACAGATAGGGTGAAAGCCCAGTACTCACATGAGCTCCAGCATCAGGGGAATCACAGAATGCCAGAATGGTTTGGATTGGAAAGGAAATTAGAAGCCCATTCCATTCCACTCCCTGCCATAGGCAGGGACACCTTCCACTACAACAGATTGCTCCAAGCCCTGTCCAACCTGGCCTTGGACATTTCCAGGGATCCAGGAAACGGGCAACCTGTGCCAGGGCCTCACCACCCTCAAAAATGTGGAAATCCCGGAGAAAACCTCATTTGCAGGAGTTTTGGCCAATCCTTCTGCTTGCCCACTCACGCTGGTGTCTGTGGTCAATCAAGGGCCAACTTGGATGTAACACAGTGCACAGGGAAACAAACTGGGCTTTGCTTTCTACACAGAAAAAGGAAGGTTTTGAGTTGAGGTACCTCATCATTCTGGACACAGCCCAGGGAGAGCTGGTTGACGTGGAGCCAGAGGGCATTACGGAAATAGTTGATCCGCTCGCACTCCTGAGTCTCAAAGAACTGAAACAACACAGACAAAACTGTCCATAACATCTTCAAAACGAGGGGAAATCTCTTTTGTCCTGATTGCTTCCCACCCCCACGTGCCACAACAAAGCTAACTGCCAGGAGCAGTTGGTGTTGATCTTCTGCAGGAAGCTGAGTCCTCCAGCTTGTCCAGAGGAGAATAATCCCTCTATGCATCCAGGTGATGTACCAGGCTTGGAAAATCTGCAAGGGAACCACCCAGCACATTTCTACCTCTGGGGAGACCAAGCCAGCTTCCTGAAGGCAGTACAGGTTCCCAAAGTGTCCTGTGCTCCTGTGATCCCAGCCCACTTCACTTACCAAGGTACCCTTAAATCCCAGAATAATTTACATTGGAAAAGCCCTCTAAGATCATCAAATCCCACCTGCACTGCCAAGGCCACCACTAACACATTTCCCCAGGTGCCACACGTACATGGGTTTTTTGTAAATTTCCATGTTCCAGATATGGAGCAATAAAAAAAGGGGGGATGTATGAAAACAGAGGTGTTTCTGTTTCTTTCCTGCCTAGCCCTTTTCTAAGCAGGTTTAAACCCTTTTGAAATCTGCTGTCTGGTACACCTCAATTTCACATGTTTTTACACATTCCCATGAACATCCACACTTGTTACCGCTTATGACCTTTGCAACACATGGAGAGGAAAACTGCCACATCATCCACCTGCAAAAGTGAATCTGCTGCTTTCCACTCCTCACCACAGAACCATTAAGGTTGGAAACACTGTCTAAGAGCATTGAGTCCAACCACTAACCCAGAACTGCCAAGCCACCACTAAACTGTGTCCCCATCCTAGAGGCTTCCAGAGAAGACACCAAAAGCACACCAGCACAGAGACACCCACGCACACCACACAAAACAGACAGAAAATTCAGTTCAAAATTGGGGTAGCAGCCTGAAGAGAGGTAACCCTGAAGCACACATGAGATAAAATCTGTCTTTGCAGTCTCTGTCCACCCCTCGATCACAGGCCAGCAGCAGAGCAGCTGCTCAGCCCTCTTGCTACCAGTCTGGAATTCCCCAGAGCATGTGCTGGAAATCCCTGCTGGGCCACTTCCCTGTGAGGCTGTCTGCTTCAGCTGATACACCCTCTCAGAGGGGTTCCCACACTACTGCAGGGTCTGTGAGACACCAGGCAAAGAGTTCTTGGCACAGTGTGCATGTGGAGGTGGCTTCACCTGCATCCCCAGCCACCACCAGCCCCTGCTGGAAAGTCATGCAAAGTCTTCCAGAGTTTCAGGCAATCTTCTGAGCAAAAAAGATGTTGTTGAGGCTCCAGGACATACTGGCCTGGGGTTACTGAGTGTGCAGAGGTGACCACAGCTGTACAAGATGACAGCCATGCTTCACTTGCAAGCAGGTAGTGGGCAAAAATGTCACCACCTTGACTCTGTCAATTTTAGAAGCTGAATGAGAGCAGAAACCCTGAAGCAATGGGGCCTTGAATCCAGAAGCCATGCTTCAGACACACACACAGAGTTAGCTGCAAAACATCCTGGTGCTTCACTGCCAGGGGAATACAAAACCAGCAAATCTGCACTGTCCCTGAGCCCTGCAGCCAGGACTGCAAACCCAGAGGAACAGGCTGCCATGTGGAGGTGTTTAGGGGCATTTACCTCACAAGCTTTGATGTGCTCATTCTGCCACTCGTCTCGGATCTTCTCCATTGTGGTCACACTCTGCTGGTAACTCCTGTCTGTGAGACAAATCACATTTTGGCTGAAGGTGCCTCTGCCCATGGCAGTGGGGTTGGAATGAGATGACCTTTAAGGTCCCTTCCAACCCAAATCATTTTATGATTCTGTGATTCCATGATTAACATTCATTTAAAAAATCCCTTTGCTAGAAGGTAATTCTAGGGCTGGGAAAAAGACTGAAAAGGGTGGGAGATGAGGACATAGTTTTAGTGGGATCATGCAGGTTTCTCCAGGGACATTGCCCATTGCTGCTATCTTGGGAATGTGTTTCCAAGGAGTCATGCCTGACCCAAGAGCTGGAGCTCATCCACAAGCTGTGCCATGGCTTCAAAAGCCCCTGCCCCTCGCCCTCCCAACGTGGCATTTCCACACTCACCAGTGTCCTCCAGTGCTGATTTTGTCTGAGCCAGCTTCAGGAACAGCTGCCAAAACCAGGAGAGACAAGGAAGGTGAAGAAGAGGCTGTGTGCATCGCCAATGGCACTGCATCCCCACTGGGGAGCATCACCAGCCTCCCCATCTCACCCCAAACCCAGAGCTGGAACAAGAGCTGGGGCATGAGAGCTGCAAGAAAAGACATCCCTTTCCCCCCCACACCATAGCCTCTTGGGAAGGATGAAAGTTTGACAAGAAAGTCTCACAGATATGTATGTTTAGCAGAAAGATTTTTAAATGTAGAATCTGAAGAAGGAGTAGAGATGGAAGCAAGTTTTGATACAGAAGAAAAGAATTGCTGAGCCAGTCTTACTGGATAACCAAGGAGGCAAAGGGTGTGTTAGTTAGAAGGGGTTTTTATGACTTACAGCAAAGGATATACCTACTTCAAACAAGAAGATGTTTTTACCAAGCACAAAGATAGCACAGGCAAACAAGTCAGGAAATGTGGCAAGTAGAAAAAAGGTCTCAGAATTTTCCACCGCAAGAAAACTGAAAAACAACTTCTAGCGTAAACTGTAATGTACTGACTTTTAATGACTGGAGAACAGTAACATGAATATGGTAATTATAGTAGTTATGATAGGCTATAGATAATAGTTCAGGTATAGATTAGTTCTTCTGTGTTAAGATGCTCAGCAAAGAAAAGTATAGAATGCATTTGTAACCAAAACCAAAGGGTCTCCAGGCCTGCCTGCACTGGAGCTGACAGCTGTGGGCACAGGCTCTGTCACCCAGAACCCTGCACTGCTCTAATGCCTTGGATGTAATAAACTGCATTTTGGAGAGCCCCTGGAGTCCTGCATCTCTCCTTCAGGCTCTTGCAGGGCTGAATTGAATGCCTGCCCTTACCTTCTCCTGCTGTTTCTGCGTGACCAGGTTGGCGTTGCGGTGCACGGCCTGCTCCGCCTCGTCCTTGTCGCGGCAGCGCTGCTCGTACAGACGCTTGGCCTGGGACAGACACCACACACACAGATTGTTGTGGTGTGATGGAATAGCCTGTCCATCCCGGTTCTTTCCCCAGGTGTGCCAATAACCTCTCCCTTCCCTTCCCCTTGCCTCTTGCTGAGTGCTGTCTGTCAATCTTGGCATTCCAGCAAGGGCGTTGTGTGATTGGCGAAGTTCAAAAGATGCCTTTCAGCCCTGGGGGACATTGGGCTATCCAGGTGTCATTTGCCACCTGAGACTTCCCCCCCCTTACCTGGTTGGTGGGATCCCTACCCCTTCCCTCCCCCTCTCCCTGGGGTTAAAAGACACGGGGACCAAGCTGTTCCCTCAGTTCTATTGGAGCTGTTGCTGCATTCAGAGGCCTGTGGGCCAGGAATAAAGCTCTGGATTGAAACCCTCCAGCAGAACCAACTCCTTTTCCTTCACCTCACCTAAAGCCTCTCCACCAGAGATAAACCTGAGCTCCTGCATGCCTCGACTTGTCCCAAGTGCCCAGCTGCAGCATCCAGCCAGCCAGAGGTGTCTCTGAGGTGAAACCACCACAGCTGCCGCCCTTGGTCCAGCAGCAAGGCCAGACGAGCCCAGGCACGTTCCATCCGGCAATATTGCTATTCAATTCCAATACCAGATGTTTGATGCAGACACACCTCGGGGGGAGAAGCTCAGCCTGCGAGGGAACAGGCTGCCTGCAGAGCAGGGAATGGCAAAAAGGTGCCCTGCAGCTTGGGAGAAGCCTTGCGAGGCAAAGATTGGGGTGAAAAGCTTCTGGCAATCAAGGCCATGTCCAGGGAAGGGCTGGGGAACAGGCAGGAGCACAAGGGTGATGAGAAGCAGCTGAGGGAGCTGGGAAGGGGCTGAGCCTGGAGCAAAGGAGGCTCAGGAGGGACCTTGTGGCTCTGCACAGCTCCTGACAGGAGGGGACAGCCAGAAGGGGGTTGGGCTCTGTTCCCAGGGAACAAGAGACAAGAGGAGAGGAAGTGGCCTCAAGTTGCATCAGAGGAGGTTTAGAGTAAATATTCAGAGAAACCTCTTCACAGAAACGGTTTTCATGCCCTGGAACAGGCTTCCCAGGGCAGTGGTGTAGTCACCATCCATGGAAGTGTTCATAAAAGGTGTGGATGTGGCCCTTGGGGAGACAGGTTAGTGGTGGGCTTGGCAGTGCTGGGCAAATGGTGGACTCAAGCATCTTAGAGGCTTTTCCAACCTGAATAATTCTCTGACTCTAAACCATTTGTATCCAACCCTGCACGGCTACCACTGGCCTTGTCTTTGCTGTGCTCTTCACTTTTTCTGAGCACACCCTGCACACCACTCACACAGACACAGCAGAGTCACAGCAGAGGAGGAAACCCCTCTCAGTTAAGCCTGTCCCAGTGCTCTGTGTGTGTGTGTGGAGCATTAACCCACATGGCAAGAAACAGCAGCGTATTTGCTTTACCTCCATGGTCTTCTTGTACTGAAGATTCCTGTTTTTGTGAATGGCCTCCATTATCAGCTCTATCTGTGAAGACAACAGACCTGGGGTCAGCACGTCACTGACCATCAAAGCTCCAGGACACACTGTCTGTGGAAGAGCCACAGACCACACTGAGATGTGTTTAAAGACCTTCATCCACCCAAATCATCTTCACAGAACTCATCTTTTGTGCTTCTGCCTAAGCCTTGAATTGTAGGCAATTGCAGCCTTTGTGTATGCTAAGGAGCTCTACAAACTAAATCCTAGCAATATACAGTACTGTATCATCTCCACAGACTCTGACAAAACTGAGAAGCCCACTCCCCTCTGCTAGGTCCAAACCAGTCCCTGGTTCTAGCAGTTTTCCCTGGTTTTCCAGACAAAGCAATCTAAGCCAGAAGAAGTTAAAAGGCTTGGCCACTTTTACAGCCCCTATGGAGATCACACAGCCCTACAAACAAATGTTTTAAAAACATTCCAATGCTGTGGCTGGCCCCAAAACACACACGAAGAAGATGTGGAAGTGAGAAGAAGGAAGTTGGAGGTTACTACACACTTACAACACATAGGAAGGAGCTCAGCACTTCCCAGCAGCACCGGCACTGGGGGCGTGGCAGGGGCTGGGACATGGCATGAGACATTCATCAGCCCCTCGCTGGGGCAGGATCAGCACCCTGCAGGAAGGCACATCTCCCCACCGTGCCTCACCTTTTTCCGATGCAGCTTTTGCTTTTCCCTGAAATCCTCCATCTTCTTTGCCTCCTCCCGAAGGGTTTGCGCCAGCTGGATGTGACCTTGTCCCACATTGTCTATCTCTGCAAAGAGAAAACAAATTCATTATTAATACATATATAAATTCCTAAAGAGACTGTTTCTCAAGTCAGCTTAGAGCACACCACACGTCCCCTTTCAGAAATGTAAAAAGCTCCAGCTTGTTTGAAGCAGCCTCCAAGCAGCGCTCACCAGTGTAAGGATCAGTCCTGCTGGGACCTGCTCCCCAGTTTGAGAAAGCTCTCCCCCTCACACAGGTAAATCTGGGCATGTTTCAACACATTGCACTGCCCCAGGGCAGCAGGCAGCAGCTTGGAGCACAGAAAAATGAAGGCTAAAACAACCTCAGGCTCCTGTGGCTGAAGGCAAGCGGCCACACTGTGAAACACCCTCAGGATCCACCAAGGGAGCAGAGCCAAATGGCAGCTCCTGATTCAGCCCCCAAAGCTGCTCCAAACCCACAGCGTGAGCTGTCAGCAGTGGTGAGGGCAGAGCCCTGTCAGGGAGGTCCACAGGGGCAGCAAAGAAACTGGATCAGGCAAGGGATGGACTGGGCACAGGACAGCAGAGGACTCATCCTCTGGGTGCTGTCTGATGGGACCAGGGCAGGATGTGACCATGACAATGTACAGTGGCCAAAGCACCAGTTAGAATCCAGTTAGAATCACACAATCATTTAGGCCAAAAAAGCCCTCTTAAAATCCTCAAGTTCAACCATTCCCTCAGCACTGCCAAGGCCACCACAGACCCATGTCCCCAAGTGCTACATTTATATCATTTTTAAATCCCTCTGGGGACAGGGACTCCCTCACTGCCCTGGGCAGCTGTGCCAGGCATGGACAACTTTTTCCATGAGAAAATTTCCCTAATATCCAATCCAAACCTCCCCTGGCCCAGCCTGAGGCCGTTCCCTCTGCTCCTGTCCCTGTTCCCTGGAGCACAGCCCGACCCCCCTGGCTGTCCCCTCCTGTCAGGAGCTGTGCAGAGCCACAAGGGCCCCCCTGAGCCTCCTTTGCTCCAGGCTCAGCCCCTGCCCAGCTCCTTCAGCCTCTCCTGGGGCTCCAGCCCCTTCCCAGCTCCGTTCCCTGCCCTGGACACGCTCCAGCCCCTCGGTGTCTCTCTTGTGCTCAGGGCCCAGAGCTGTCCCCGGGTTCAAGGTGTGAGCTGCAGTGTGTTTGTGAAGAGGACAAGCCTGTCCAGCAAACTCCAGATAGGCTTCCCATGCACAGCTTCCTATGCACAACACAAACATGACCTCTGAGCTGCAGCCAGACCTGAAAGCCCAAGAGATCCCAAAATGATGCCCTGAGGGTCTCCTGTCCCACACATGTCCTGGCTCACTTTGTCCGAAGCCCCACACACTGGGATGAACCAGGCCAGCTGTACAGCCTTTGCCTGGCCTCAGCACTGCACAGCTTTAGAGATTTCTCTGCTGTTTTCTTCCCAAGCAGTTGCCTTCAGGCTTTAGTGTCCTGGCAAACACAAATAATTACTTACGTTGCTTGAAAACATCAAGAGATCTCTTCAGCGTGCTGAAAAACACAGGCAGGGCATTAAAAAGGGTGGAGAAGCAGAGTCAGGCACAGGCACAGCAGAGCACCTCTTCCAAAACAGAACTCACTCAACAATGGCCAAAGAACCTCAAAGCACATCTATTCATCCTCTTAGTAACTCCAGCTTTTCCCTCTCTCAGCACATACAACACAGTTCACCTGGTTTGACATCTTTCTGAACACTGGATGCTATGAAAAATTCAAAGTTTCACAACAAATGCTTCTGGCAACCTCCTAAAACCACCATTTGGGATAGTTTCAACATGGTGTGTTTGCCAGTGGTTGGAAAAATAGGGAGTTATTCTCCCTATTAATATTGCACAGTAAAGATGGTAAAAACATTTTAAGTGACACCTCAGTATGAAACTGTAAGTAAATGACCAGGGCTTGTATAAAGTGCAGAAATAAAGGAGGAAGCAGAAGGCAGTGAGGATCACTTGGGAAATGGAGCAAGCTGTGGTGGCCACAGAGTTCTGGGCTCTAAAGATGTGCATGGTTTGAGTCAGGGAAGTACCTGTACTTGATCCCCAGCCTTCTGCTGACCCACCAGCCCACATCCCCCTGAGCATCTACAGGGCCTTGGTTAATCTGTGGCTAAGGGGAACTTGGTGGGCTCCAGCTGAAAGCCAATTAGAACCCAACTGAGCACTGCTCATTCATGAGAACGATTTCAGCTCGTCTTCCGAATGTCTCAATCACGTTTCAATACTGTTTTGTCTCACAGCTTCCTTCCTTCTCTTCCTCCTTCAGGGACACCCATAAAAGCAACTGTGAACTTACTTCAGCTCTGTCTGCCCACAGGGCTTCTTCTTCGACAAGTTAATGAGCTCCTTGCCATATTTTTCTTCTATAATTGCTCTGTTGAGGAAAGAGAGGCACCACAGAGAGAAATCATCGATTGGTTTGGGATGGAAGGGACCTGAAAGCTCATCCAGGTCTGCCCTCTGCCATGGGCAAGGGCACCTTCCACTAACCCAGGGTGCTCCAAGACCTGTCCAACCTAGCCTGGGACACTGCCAGGGATCCAGGGGCAGCCACAGCTGCTCTGGGAAAACTGTGCCAGAGAGGGTCCCACCACCCTCACAGCCACCAACTCCTTCCCTACATCCCATCTATGTGTGGCAATAAGTACTCTCTGCACATGGCACTAATCCTTAGGGAGAGCATCTGAAAAAGAGACCAAACCTCATGAGGTGACATAAACAACATCTTTGAGAGACCATATTATCTCCCCATCTTGGAAGAAAGGAAGGAGGAAAAGAAAGTTCCTGTGTTGCAGTGTAAGAATAACCAGGTCTTTGTTTTTTAAATCACTACAGACAACCAGGGCTGGAATTGCTTGATCAAATGTAGTTCTCTCCATGTGGCCAGCAGAAAGGAACAAGTATTGCTAGAGGCTGCCATTAAAACATCCACTGGATAAAACAAACAACTTTTTAAAATGTCCTAACTACTAACACAGATGAAGACCCTTGTGTGGTTGATTTCTGGAGTCTGGCAATGAAATTCACCTACCTTAACTCTAAAAACACCAGAAGCTAATAGGGAAATTGAAATAAAAAGGAATCATAGATTGATTTTTTTAATACACCTAGCAACATTCCCATGAACTTTGTTTGAAACAAAACATCCAGCAGGCACATTTTGCATATCTGGAACTGTGCTGGACAACTGGGCCAAGCCCAGAGAGTGGCAAATCCAGGCCCAGCCTCTGATTTCCTCCTGGCCAGACACTTCAGTGGCAACCCACACCTCCTTCAAGACTAAGGGGGGCACAGGGTGTAGAGGAGGCTTCTGGCACTCTGCATTGTCACTGAAGAGTGAGACTTGGTTCTCAGGGTCCACTTCCTCCTGTGGAAGGTCAAATTTTCCTGGAACGTGGGATTACAGCCTGAACAGATGTAGGTGCATTAGACACTTTTAAGTGCAGCTCTCCTCCTGTTCATCCCCTTTTTGTTTGTTCCAGGATGCTCTGTACTGAGTTGTGCAGTCAGAGGTTGGTTTTCTCCAATTGTCATTACCAAAACGACATTAATTCAATGTACAGTATTCTACAATGCTCTTCATATTTAGCTACTGCTAACCAGGTGAGCCATAAAAGTAAAATACATCAGATTTTAGTCAGATCATCACCTGGCACAGAACCTCTGCTTATGCCATCTCCTCTGATTAATAATGGCAGCACCCAACCCTACTACTTCTCAACACTGAATCTGTGGGGAGTTCATAATGCACAGAGACAAAGACAGGACAAAGCCATGGCTCTCCTGGGCCAAGATCTTCTAACCTGATCCTCTGCAAGGCAAACAGCAAGGTGAACTTCATGGGACACCCTTTTATCAGCAAACTGGGAACACCAGGAGAAGGAGCAGGGCCACAGCAGCACTCCCCGGCTCTGCCCAGCCCGCGCCAGAGGCAGCTCCCTACCTTTCCTTCAGGAAGTCTTCAAACTCCTTGCAGTTCTTCCTGCCATCGTTCAGGTGCTGGATGATGCTGTCGTAGCCAACTGTGCTGGTCAGGTCCGTGCTCTGGAAACACAGGAGCAGGAGTCATGTCCCTGGCAGCACAATCCATGGACACTGCCACCTCCTGAGGCATTTGCACAGGCCATGGCTCGGTGGGAGAAAGCGTGCAAGTGCCTCTTTATGAAATAAAATATGTTATTTTTAGGGGTGGGAGAGGCTCCAGAATGAGAACAATGGTGGCAATTTGAGACAAGGTACATCTGTGCCACCCACACTTGCCATAGATTCTGAAGGGTCATTTTCTTCCAAATTATTCCTTAAAAACATATATTGCATGGATGTATGTAGAAAAAAATGAAAAAGGAAAAAGAAAAAGAAAAAGAAAAAGAAAAAGAAAAAGAAAAAGAAAAAGAAAAAGAAAAAGAAAAAGAAAAAGAAAAAGAAAAAGAAAAAGAGAAAATAAAAAGAGAAAAGAAAAAGGGAAAAGGAAAAAAAGAAAAGAAAAAGGAAAAAAGAAGAAAAAGAAAAAGAAGACGCAGCAACGCTGTAGGCTGACTTACTCTACCCCATTTTTTCCCATTCCTATGCATGGCTGCAGAAAAGGGAGCAATAGTAGGAGCAGGTATGAAACCCAGCAACAGGAAACAAAAGCCACGAAAGGTTATCAAGAAACCTGAAGAGGATTGTGGCAGGATGGAGAGATTCAGGAAATTGTTCAAAGCCAGGACGAGAGCATGCAGAGATCTGGCATAACAGTGTGGGCAGCTGAAAAGGGGATTTCTTGAGAATTTGTTCCTGGTGCAATAAAGGAGAAGGAACAGGGCTGGTATCTGTGATAAAGGAACAGTTTAAATAAGTTTAAGTCCTTATTCAAGTACTTGACTGTCAGTGACCAGAAAGCAAGAAGTGAAGGGGAGATGTGCGGAGTGGGACTGGCAGAAAATCCACAGGTATCCCAAACCAGCTTTGCATGGGAAGACAGGACTGTGGAGCAGGACCTAGGCAGAAACCAAACTTCCTTTACAAAGTACAAATGTCCCTCCAAAATGAGGTTGGTACTGATAAACCCACAGCCAGCTCTCAGGTTCACATCTTCACGAACCGAGTCTGTGAAAAGGAAACAATGCACTGGAGTCAGGCTTCATCACATTTGCAAAGCACAGGATCAGCCCCTCTTGAATTCCTGTCCCCACTTTCAAAGGAAACAGAAGAGACACAGAGCACAGCTGCTGGCCACTGCCAGCCCAGGCAGGAGGGAGGCTCAGAGCCCCATCAGTGACCACTGCCCATCCAGGGGAGGCTCAGAGCCCATCAGTGATCACTGCATGTCCAGGGGAGGCTCAGAGCCCATCACTGATCACTGCACATCCAGGGGAGGCTCAGAGCCCATCATTGATCACTGCACACCCAGGAGAGACTCAGAGCATCATCACTGCATGTTCAGGAGCACCCAGAGGCTCCTGCATCCTGCTCTGGCACTCTTGGGCTCGCTGTGCCAAGCAGAAGGGTCAAGGTATACCCATAAATAATGTGCACTAAGCTCCTTGTTTTACCACTCTTCCTCCTACAGTAGAAGGATTTAATTCCAGCACATGTGTGTTTCCTAAGCACCCAAGGCAGGACCAGACCTCAGGGTGCAAGGTGTTATATGAAACACAGAATCACACAATTGTTTAAGTTGGAAAAACCCTCTGAAATCATCAAGTCTAAACATTCCCCAACACTGCCAAACCATTCACCCACCCTCACCCTTAAGTGCCACATTTATATGGGTTTTAAATTCCTCCAGGTGAGTTTTCCATGGGAGGAACTCCCAACCCAGATGGACATGGACAGAGTTTTATGGTTTCAAATCAGCCTTTGCAGAAACCTTCTGGGCAGGTTTGGCACAGAAAGACTCAAAAGGACCAGCATGACTGGGGGTGCTCAGCCTGGAGGAGGTTCCAGGGAGAGCTCAGAGCCCTGTCCAGTGCCCACAGAGAGTCCAGGAGAGCTGCACAGGGACTGGGGACAAGGAATAGGGGGACACGGGGAATGGTTTCCCAGGGCCAGAGGGCAGGGATAGATGGGATATTGGGAAGAAATTGCGGGCTATAAAGATGGTAAGGTCCTGGCACAGTGTGCCCAGAGCAGCTGTGGCTGCCCCTGGATCCCTGGAAGTGTCCAAGGCCAGGCTGGATGGGGCTGGGAGCCAGCTGGGATAGTGGAAGGTGTCCCTGCCATGGCAGGGGGTAGAATTGGATGGTCTTGAGGGTCCCTTTCAACCCAAACCATCCTGGGATTCTGTGACTGCAAAGGCAGGGCTGGCAACAGCAAGGGAAGAGGAAGTGCAGCATGGCAAGTACAAAGCCACAGGCACAGAGAAGATGATTTAAAACCATAATAAACTAACCCAAAGGCAAGTATGAAAGATGGGAAGCTGCACCAAGCCCTGCTCAAACAGAGCGTGAGGATCTCTCCTGTCATTCTCCTGCACACATCTGTCCTGGCCCTCCCTCCTGGGCACAGCTCTGAGCCCACGTGCTATTCAGAGCACAGCCCATGGAAACTGCAAACAGATGATTTCAAGGTGACAAAGCAGCACCTGATGTTTCCCAAGCTCACAGGACATGCAACCCGCCCCCCCTTCCTGATCTGCTGCCTGGATTTGCACCCAATGGAATCAATAATGAGAAGGAATTTGTGTGCTGCTTGTGACGTTTTGGGGTTTGGTTACACTTTCAGCCAAAAGCAGGGGCTAAAATGTTGTGCTGGGGACGGGAAAGCACGTCATGATCCTGTCTGAGTCACAGCAAGCTGCTGAGCCTGACGCTTCCATCTCCTACCCCAATTTACCAGAAAACCCCTGCAGACACACACCCTGGGAAGAAAATGACAGTGGAGAGATGTTTCAGTCAGAAAAGTTCTCTAAGACCATTAAGTCTTAGAGGAAGTTAACCACTCCCCAGTATTGCCCACCCCACCATTAAACCATCTCCCCAAGTGCCACATCCACACAGCTTTTTAATCCCTCTGGGGACAGGGAGTCCCTCACTGCCCTGGGCAGCCTGTTTCTAGGACTAATAACCCTTGCTATGAAGAAATTTTCCCTAATATCCAATCTAAACATCACTTTACACAGCCTGAGGCCGTTCCCTTTGCTCCTGTCCCTGTTCCCTGGAGCACAGCCCGACCCCCCCGGCTGTCCCCTCCTGTCAGGAGCTGTGCAGAGCCACAAGGGCCCTCCTGAGCCTCCTTTGCTCCAGGCTCAGCCCCTGCCCAGCTCCCTCAGCCTCTCCTGGGGCTCCAGCCCCTTCCCAGCTCCGTTCCCTGCCCTGGACACGCTCCAGCCCCTCGGTGTCTCTCTTGTGCTGAGGGCCCAGAGCTGTCCCCAGCACTGGAGCTGCCTCAGCAGTGCCGGCACAGGGACAGGCCCTGCCCTGGGGCTGGGTCACAGCCTGGCTGGGACAGCCCAGGGCCCATTGGCCTCCTGCCCCTCTGGGTACCCTGTGCTCGTGTCCAGCCCCTGGCACCAGCACTCCCAGGGCCTTTCCCAAAGGGCCTTTCCAGCCCCTCTGCCCAGCCTGGAGCTGCAGGGAATGGTGAGACCCAAAGCAGGACCCAGCTCTTCTCCTTGGTGCCTCTCACGCCATTGGCCTCAGGCCATGGATCCAGCCTGCCCAGACCCCTCTGCAGAGCCCTCCTGCCCTCCATCTGTCTGTCCCACCCTTCCCAAACTGAAAGGTTTGGGGCACTGCACATGTTCATAGACCATCTCCTGAAGGATCTGTATTTATTCCAAGCTCCCAGAATGTTTCCGCAGTCTTGTGTGCTTAGAGAAACGCACCAGAAGCTGGTGACTATTTTAGTAGTTGCAAAAACTCTGCAAGTGTAGCTGGCTGTGCTGTCCTTGCTCAGTCAGTGCCTGCAGAAGTTACTGAGACAAAGAGAAGTGCTTTTTCATGCTGGTGCCCGCAGGGAGCAGGGCGAGGAGAGGCTGCACAAGGCCGCAGCTCCTCCCCACCCCACAACCAGGAGGGTACAACAGGACGGACAAAACTCACTGCAGGGAGGAAAAGGCCTCACTGCAAATCCACCCCCCTGGGACCAGCATCCTGAAAAAAAGCAACTTTTTGATTGATAATTTTCCATTTGAAGTTTCCTTCCCCTACGCCAGCCTGTTCATCCCAGAGACACCAAAAGCAAAGGACTGTTTCGCCTTGATGCAATTTCTTCTTCCCACAAATCCCACCTTGTTCCTTCGAAACAACGACCTGGGGATTTCACAATGCTGCTGCCAAGTTCCACCAAGGCAGTGCCCATTTAGAGAAGGACAGGCAGGGGGAAGGGGAAGTGAAACAGCCATAATCAGACAGCAGCCAGGGAATAAACCCAGGAACCCAGGGCTGCATCCCCCCAGACATGGGTTGTTTTAGCAGCATTGCTAAAAACACAGCAGGGAGCAGAGCATTACCTCGCTGAACGCAAAATGACTAAAATTTCATTCTCCAAGCTGCAACCTGTTTAGCCCACAGATCAGAATTAGAGTGGTTCTTAGCATTAACGTAATTTCTATTTTTACCATATGGTTTTACAGCACCAAAGTGCACAATGAGACCCAAGGTTGTTGGGTTACCTGAAATGTGTGTAAGAACAGGCTTGTGGAAAACAAGGCATGTTTTCACTTAAGAAAGTGAAAAGAAGTAAAAGGAAAGACCTCATAGTGAAAGAAGAAGAGCAGATTGCAAAAACAAATGAAAACAAAATGTCAGGCTTGCCCAACTTGTGGCAATCACTACAGGCAGGACAGGGGAAAACAAACACGAGTTTTGGGGTATTTTTGTTTTTGCACAGCTCACTCAGAGGCCTGTGGGAGTGAGTGACATGGGAGTCAGAGCATGCAGAGCAAAAAATGTTTTCAGCTTCAGGCATGTCTGGACTTCAGTCCCTGAGCAGCAGGAGCTGCAGTGGGGTGCCAGGGAGCAAACATCTTTATTCAAGGAAATTTATCATCTTGTATTGAGACCCAGGAGCACGAGCAAACTTCAGTGCAGAGAGCCAATGGGCCTGTGTTTTCCCACCAGAGCACATCAGGAATATCCCACCATCAGCTCCAGCAGGGAACAGGAGTCAGTGCAGGAACAGACACAGCACCCACCAAAGGAACCACCACTGCTGGGGTTTAAAACTAAATCAGTCCCCAGGTGAGGCTGGAAGCACAGCCCTGCTATTCCAACAGAGCAAAGGGTGGGCTGCAGCTTAGCCTGCAACCACAGAATCCCAGAATGGTTCGGGTTGGCAGGGACCTTAAACCTCATCCCGTTCCACTCCCTGCCATGGGCAGGCACACCTTCCACTGTCCCAGGCTGCTCCAAGCCCCATCCAGCCTGGCCTTGGGCACTGCCAGGGATCCAGGGGCAGCCACAGCTGCTCTGGGCACCCTGGGCCAGGGCCTGCTCACCCTCACCCTTACCATCCTATCCCCACAAAGAAATTTGGAGGTCATCACTCACAACCAGTCACGTTTCAAAGCTGGGAGATCCAATACCAAAACTGGCCTAGGTTTTGAGAGCTTGAACATTTTTTAGACTTTGTCCCATCAGTTGGACCATACTTCCCCTGGAGCACTCCCAAAGTCTCCTCATCAGGCTGTCCTAACCACCAAGAAATTTGCTCCCACATGACTAACATACATTTTTTCCCAGTATTTAGGGATTCTGCAGGTACAATGGGATGATGAGTTAATTTGGAGGAAAAAAAAAAAAAGACATGTACATTTTGTTGGACCAGCAGATCTGAGCTGAGCCATCATCACCACTAAAGAACAGTGTGTGACAGCATCTGCCACCTGCCCAGGATGGTGCAGCAATGGCCCTCTGGGTCTCACCCTGTCTGACAAGTGAAGAACATACAGAAGACAAAAATTGTGCCTCACTAAGCTCTTTGTAATGATAGGACAAGGAATTATGGTTTTAAACAAAAAGATGGGAGATTCATATTAAATACAGGGAAGGAACTGTTTGGATTATTTGTGAGTGAGGGTATTAAAACACTGGCAGAGGTTACCCACACAAGCTGTGGGTACACCATCCCTGGAAGCATTCCAGGCCAGGCTGGACAGGGCATAGAGCAACCTGGTTGTGTGGAAGGTGTCCCTGACCATAGCAGGGTGGTGGACTAGATGGTTTGTAAGGTCTTTCCCAACCCAAACTGCTCAATGCTTCTATGATTCTAAAAAATCACTTGCTTCAGCAAAGACTTCTTCTATTTTTTGCCTTACGCAAACCAATCTGAGAGGAAAATTGCAGGAGGAAGTCCTTGCCCACTCACTCAGCAGCAGGTGGAAGCTGGATCTGCAGCCCTCCACACTTCATCTTGATTTGGTTTTTTTCCCTTCCTATCCTTATTCACCCCTCCTCCCCAGCCCTCACAGCTGATGCACAGTCACCAGTACGTGGTGTGGCAGCTGCTTTGGGGTGGTACCTGCCTTTTCCATGGGCCCAACGACCGCAGAAGGGCCTCAGTCTCTCCACTGAGTCACCTCCATCACGCTCCCGTCCAGCCTCAGTCAGGGGGCTTGGAGCACACGGGCTTCAGAAAGGACAAAACCCTGGAAAAATCCCTGGCTGCACCAGTGGTTTGGGGCTCAGCAAGAAACTGGGATTATTCAGAAGTGGTAAAGCAGGGGTGAGTGCCCCACACAACACCACAGATCCTCCTTATCTTGGGAGCTGGAGGCTGCTCCTGTCCTAGGATTTCTCCCACTGAGCCCCCTCCTCCAAGATCCTCCTTCAAAAAGCAACACACCACTGCAGGAGAGGAACAAAGCGAGCAGAAACAGCCAAAGTCAGCCCTGCAGTGAGGAGCTCTTCTTCAATCCCACATGCCATCAAGGCACAACAAACCCTGCCTGCCCAGCCTTTCTGCCATCACAGTGGTTCCTCCAGCACCCTCAGAACCTCCTCTCTGCACATCTGCAAAGCCAAGGGAGCACTGTGGAAAATTTCTGTGTAACAAATAGCTGGGAAGCAGCTGCCAGGTGCAGAGTTGGCTTTATTCTCCACAACAAGTCTGACATCTGTGTGGGATTTACGTGTTTGACAACGCTATGCCAGTTAACTCATTAATGATGCTGGGCGAGGCTCTGCACTGATTCCTCAACACTCAGGAGCCCCAGACCTGGTGCCCGCTCTTCCTGGGGCCTGTGCTTCTCTCCCACGTCCTACAAGATGGGAGATGCTTCCAGGCAACATCTGGGAAACACCAAGCAGCACTATTCACAGATGAAGATTTTCAGCCCCAAAAGACCAAATTTGGTAATTTACTTCCTGGTCACCAATACCTAGAATGAAGATCCACCACAAGAGGAACCAAGTAGCCACAGAGTTTTAGCTTTGCAGCAGATATGTGGGTTTCCTGTAGTTCTCCTTTTATAAAAGCATAATTCTGACTGAAAAGAATAAATTGTGGTTTTCCCTGAACTGTGGGTTTTCTCCCATGGCTCAACAGCTGGCAGCAGCATCATACCAAGTGACTTGCTCCTATCCAGGATTAGCTCACAAGAGGAGAACATTTTTCACCATGCTGTCTTCAAGTAGTTCACCGATGGCAAACTAATGGTATCAAACCCTTCAACCTGGCACTGACTTCCTCCAGCAAGGTAGCAGCCACTGCTGGGATTCTTTTGGAGCTGCATGGAGCAGGCTGTAAAGCCACAACTCTCAAGGCGCACATGGTGGGCAGTGCCTGCTGGGGATCACAGAATCCCAGAATGGTTTGGGTTGGAAGGGACCTTAAAGCACATTTCATTCCATCCCCTGCCACAGGCAGGGACACCTTCCACTATCCCAGGGTGCCCAAAGCCCCGTCCAATCTGGCCTTGGACACTTCCAGGGATCCAGGGGCAGCCAAAGCTGCTCTGGGCACCCTGTGCCAGTGTTCTACCGACCGCGAGCATTCAGCAAAGTCACCCCACGACCACGATCGTTGGCTTAGGAGCAACTCCAACCAGAGAGCAGTGATCCCTCCACCTCCAGGTGCGCCCCCCGGCCCCGGCTGGCTGTGTCCCCGCTGTCCCGGTCCCGCCGTGCTCCCACTCACCCAGAAGTTGTCCCTGAACCGCGCCTCCCGCATCGTGCTGCCGCCGCCGCCGCGCTGCTCCGCTCCCTGCCCGGCCCGGCCCGGCCCGCCGAGTCTCCTCCCACGCACGGTGCTCCCGCCCCGGGATGCCCGCGGGTGGAGGAGCGGGACGTGCAGCGCCGGGCGGGCGGGACCGGCGGGAAGGCAAGCCCGGCACCGCGGGACGAACCCACCCGTGCGGTGCCCCAAGGACAGAGGGAGCGGAGCCGGAGCAGCTCGGCCGGCGGCTGCACAGCCCTGCCCACGCCACCTGCAGCACCCTGCCCGCCCGGCTCGGAGCTTCAGGAATGCTTTGGGAAGGTTTTATGGAATCAGAGAATTGCTTTGGTTGCAAAAGCCCTCCAAGGTCGAGTGCAACCATTCGCCCGGCCGCTACCAAGCCCGCCCACGTCCCACACATCCACAGGACTTCTTAATGCAAGGATGAGGAGTTCACCACTGCCCTGGGAAGCCTGTGCTAGGGCAGGAAAACTCCGCAGGTCAAGAAACTTTCCCAATATCCAATCCAAACCTATCCTGGCCCAGCCTGAGGCCGTTCCCTCTGCTCCTGTCCCTGTTCCCTGGAGCACAGCCCGACCCCCCCGGCTGTCCCCTCCTGTCAGGAGCTGTGCAGAGCCACAAGGGCCCCCCTGAGCCTCCTTTGCTCCAGGCTCAGCCCCTGAACACGCACAACTCCCCTTCACCACACACATCCCGTGTCACAGTTTATTAGGGGCCATTGCCTGACACAAGGCACTCCATGGGGGAGCTCTAAGCAACGCTTGGAAAATACGAAAGCAAAGATCGGACGCTGTGTACTGAAATGGCTGAAATCACACCCACCACACTCAAACTGAGGCTTTTGCTTGAACACAGGGATAGCTAAAACACTCAGTAGTGTTAAAAAATGCATTTTCAACTTAGTGAAATAAGCCTGCTCAATTGTAACCTGAGGTTAATTTATGCAGACTGTGTGTAGCCTCTAGACGAAAGAGAGCACAAACCACCCATGAATCCACTCCACCAAGCACCTCAATGTGCTCTAAGAGAGCTGGAGAGGGACTTCGGGCACAGAGTAACAGAGCAAGGGAGAACTGTCTTTCACTGAGAGGGCAGGGATAGATGGGATATTGGGAAGAGACTCTTCCCAGAGAGGATGGTGAGGCCAGGGCACAGGGCTCCCAGAGCAGCTGTGGCTCCCCACCCCTGGCAGCGTCCAAGGCCAGGCTGGAGAGGGTTTGGAGCAGCCTGGGAAGAAGTGCTCCACACACAGCAGCAGGTAGACACAGATGATCGTTAAGGTCCCTTTCAAACCAAACCACTGTGATTTTGTGATCCACTCACCATTTCCCAGCCCCAGCCCTTGGCACCACTCAGGAACATTTATCTTACGTTACTAGAAAAAAATAGATCTCTGTTTAGGACTGAGATACTTTTGAGTTCAGGACTTTCCAACTATAGCAGCACGCGAAGCATGGCACAGCAACATCAAGCAGTAACGAGGGTTTAGTCACTGGGCAGAAAGTCACAAGCTTTTACAGCTGTCCTGGAAGGAACGTGATGTTGGGCAGATCAGAGTGGAAATGTTCCACAGCAGAATTCCCTCACACCTGTGAGGCCCCCCAGCCACCTCCTCTGGGGCTGTAGGGTTAAAGAAACAAGATGGTGAAGGAACACAAGATCGTCCTCCTGGAGCACAGCACTAACTGTTCCCAAAAAGGTATTTGCCACCTCTGTATTTCAAGTGTGTGTTTATTTTTGCCCAGTACTGCAGATCCCACTCTCTCAAAGCACTCAGGCCATTAAAAAGAGAAGCCTGTCAGCCTCAACTGCATGAGTGTGTTTGCAGCTGCCTGTAACTCCACACCTGGACTGGGAGGTGGACACTGCTGTACAGAAGTTAACCTGGGACAGTGCACACATCAAGAGCAGTCCTGCCCCAGCCTGAGCCCCCTGCCCTGGGCTGATCCCCAGCGTGGGCAGCAGGGCAGGGGGATCCTGCCCCTGTGCCCCTGGGCTCAGGTGAGAGCCCACCTGCAGAGCTGCCCCAGCCCTGGCTCCAACAGCACAAGGAGCTGGAGCTGCTGGAGGGAATCCAGAGGAGGCACCAACGTGATCAGAGGGATGGAGCAGCTCTGCTGAGAGAATTGGGACTGTTCAGCCTGAGAAGAGGCAGCTTTGGGGTGACCCAATTGCAGCCTTCCAGAGGGCAAGGTTAGATGGGATATTGGAAAGAAATTCTTGTCTGTGAGGTTGCTGAGGCCCTGGTACAGGCTGCTCAGATCAGCTGTGGCTGCATCACCCCTGGAAGTGTTCACGGCCAGGCTGGACAGGGCTTGGAGTGACCTGGGATAGTGGAAGGTGTCCCTGCCCATGGCAGAAGGGTGGAGCGAGACAATGTTCAAGGTCTTCTCCAAAACCATCCTGGGATTCTCAGATTTATGTCATCAGGTATTACTGCTGTTGACAGCTACACCTGCAATAGTGCCAAGACACAAAGACCAGTATTCCAAAGGCCAGGCACCAGGATGGGTCAGACAGCAATTCCAAGAAATGCTCTGTCAGTGTCACAGTTAAGGGATTCCTGTGAAGCCCAGGGGGTTATCCCTGTGACCCCAGCTCCACTGCCCCTCTGCAGGATAAGTTGCCTGGCACAAATGATGAACACTGAGAAGGTCCCTCAGCTCTGTCCCTCTCCTGGCTCCTGTAAGGGGAGTTTGCCCACTCAAGCATTAAGGATACCCCTGATTTCCAGAGTTCTTCCAGCAGGGCTGTGTCCAGGGGAGTTCAGATCTGTGGTTCCACAGGTGCAAGAGTGAGCCAGAAGTACGGACAAAAAGAAATCACACAGAACACAGTTATTTTTACATTCAGAACAGAGCCTTTTTACATGGGAACCTTTATTCTCACCGAGATCTGTACATTCAAGTCGCACATGCTTTTGTTGTCTTTGACGGAGCTGGAACACTGGATCACAACAGCCTGGGCTGGTCTGCTAGAACCAGCCTGGTCTGGTCTGTTAGTTTTAGAGTTTATGCCTCAAAAGTAGACAGGAATTTTGTGACTATTTCCTTCAACTTTGCTTCTGTCTGGTCAGAGATCTTCCCTTCGGTCCTGTGGGAAGAGTTCAGTTAAATTCTGACACAGCAATCAAAACAGGGTCAACCCCAAGACAAACACAGAAGCTTTACAACAAACCTCCCTGTTTCTAACAAATTCAGTAGATAAATGAACACACTTGTTTGGTACATGAAACCATCCCACTAACAGAGTATCCCTTCTCCTGAAAGAGCCAGTCCTGTTTAATTCACAAATTCTTTCAGAACAGCCATATGAATTCCAACAAGGCCTAAACCTACAGAGCTGGTCCCCAGAGACAGAAAGCCTATGATTGTCTTCATGACAAAAAAAGCCAGGACCAATTTCCAGGCTAGGACTATGGAAACACTCAATCCCCAATAGTTCACTCAGGAGCACTTAATCCACAGCACTCCAACAGCTCAAAGCTGTCCACAATATGAATCAATCAAGATTTCAGGAACAGGTTAGAGGAGACACATTGCAAGAAGGCTCATTTTATGCATCAGCTGCTTTTCCTAAGAGCTGCAGCTGAGGATGGCAGATGGTAGGAAGGCTGATTTAACCCCCAGTTTTGATACAGCCAGCTGAACGCCCGATGTTCTAGGACACATTACACTAACAGGTCAGTGACCATTATCTGCACTACAGACATCAATACCCTTGGGATAAATCAAGGTAAACCACCGTACCTGATTGTGGAGAGGAGGTCCTGGTGCTGGCTCAGTACATGAGCCAGGAAAGCACTCTCAAATTTTGTGATCTTGCTGGGCTCCAGCTTGTCCAAGTGACCTCTTACACCAGCATAGATGACTGCCACCTGCTCCTCAATAGCCATGGGAACTGCAGGAAAAAACAGCACTCACACCACTGGAACTCTTCCACCAGGACATATCAGACTACAGAATCCTTGGAACGCCAAGTTCACACGGACAGCTCAGTGCAAGCAAATCTGCATGCACCATGAGCACAGAACAGACACAAATGCTACCCAAGCCCAGTGCAGGCAGCCCTGCCAAGCCCAGGGCACTCACTCACCGTACTGGCCCTGCTTGAGCAGCTCTGTCAGGCGCACGCCGCGGTTCAGCAGCTGCTGCGTGGCTGCGTCCAGGTCGGAGCCGAACTGGGCGAAGGCGGCGACCTCCCGGTACTGAGCCAGCTCCAGCTTCATGGTACCAGCCACCTGCAGGGCACAGTCACAGCCACTGACACCACCGCTAACTGTGCCCACGAGTCAGCTGTTAACTGAACAGCGAACGTTAGCTGGCAGCTGACAGGTGCTACAAGTCAGCTCTGCCTTGCACTCCATAAAAGTCAATATACAAACCGACAAATGATTATAAACATTACGAAAATCCCACACTTTACCATAAGCACACTATCTCTCTGTGGAAACAGCAACTGTTGATATACATCTCTCTAATTCTAGGTAATTTAGTCTGGACTAAAAGCCTGCAGTTAAGAGAGCATTCTCTGTTTTGTAAGTGATCAATACCCAGTTCAAAACATCAAAACTGAATCCTGCATCTTTATGCAGACATTGCTTCCCTTTCTCCCATGCATTTCTCAGCAGGCAATGGAAGCATTAAAGAGCTATCTAAAGTTTGCTCTTTTATAATTGTGTAACACTGATAGATGCAAAGCTTTAATCCTTCTCTGTTCACACCTACACACCACTCATCTCTAGCACGAGGAGGAACAGCCATTTCCCAATTACCTGCTTCATAGCTCTGGTCTGAGCAGCAGAACCAACACGGGACACAGACAGACCAACGTTGATGGCTGGACGAATACCTTTGTAGAACAACTCAGTTTCCAAGAAGATCTGCAGGACAGAATTGTAGTATCATTATCTTGTTCAGAAGCCTGGAGGCCTCCTCAGAGACCAGCCACTAAGCTCCACGGAGATGCTGGGCTGTGAGGAAGCCCTACCTGTCCATCGGT